AATTCTCATGGTCTGATGTTCTTTGCAATTAAATTAAGGTTTTGCTCTCCTAGTCAAGCTGATGCATATGTAACATGTTGTCCTTCTTAGGGTATCACATGTAGAGATACACAGTGTTTATTTGTATTTATTAAGATGTCTGATTACTTACTTAGTCAAAGGATAAGCAGTGTGTGGGGAGACAGTTCCAAACAGTGAAAGTATTCTCATATCTTTTCAGAATTTCCACTTAGAATGAAATGACCATTTATTGTTAATTTTTGCCTGAATCTGTCATTATAGTTGCAAAATGATAAGTTTAGTACTCCAGCCATTCCTTCCTTTTTACCAGCCAGCCCCTGCTGTTGTACTATTTGTGAAGTTACCCCTTCTATTTATCTGTATTATTTGTATGGATTCACGACTCCCTAATTTTACAAAAATTTTTTTTACAATTCATTACTCTTCTTAATTGTTTGATTTTCAAGTAAGTCCTACCTTTGTCCAGACTAGAGGAAGCCACTTCAGTCTAGCTTTTCTATCCTTAAGAATGTACCCCATTGTTTTTTAATCAAACACTTCCTTGTTCGCTATGAAAATGAGATGTTTTATGCTCAGCTGTTACATGTCCTGACTGTGGCCTGGATTTAGCCACGTCTCTGAGGTACCTTAGTTTCTTTTAGTGAAGAATGGCATTATTAGTGACTGACACCTGTGTACTCACTAAGCTGATTTTTGAGCCTTTCTTGAAATTGAACACTAGCTGCAGTGCATTTTGAAGGAATAAGTGTTTGCATTTTACCCTTTGGAAAAGCTCTGTCTCTGTGACATCCCCCAACCTCCCACCCACTCTCTTCTGCAGTAATTGCCACCTCAAGGAAAGCTTAGGCACCTTGGAGCAGTGCTCAGTAATTAGTATTAGTTATGTCCTTGGTTTCGTCTTCTCCGTATGTGTTATGGGTTTAAATGCTGTCATGTTGATGATATACTGGGATAGTAATTTGTGAAGGGCCTTGAGATTTAAGCCTTTAAATTTTTGAATAGAAGGTAATTTTTGTTATAATTTCCTAATTCTGGGACCTTTTCATAATTCTGGAGCCTTTGTAAAATGACTTTGAAAATAACCTCAGAAATTCTAGTTTTGAACTTTTTAATTTTGAATATTTGTTTGTGCTATAAGTTATTTGAGATGTTTTATGGAAACCTTTTACTTTGAAATAATTTCAAATTTATAGAAAAGTTGTAAAGAAATGCCATATACTTTGAATTGACATTTGCTGTCAACATTTTGTCTTTATTTGCTAAATCATTTTTATTATTATTGTTATCTGAAAGTTGTAGAATTCATGATTTTATCACAAATGTTTGTGTATTTCCTAAGAACAAGTATATTCTCTCATACAACCATGGTACAGTTACCAAAACCAGGAATTTTAATGTTGATTAATGTTGAATCTGTGTAAGCCTCATGCATATCCAGCCATCTGTCCCAGTGTTTTGGGGTTTTGTTTTGTTTTTTGGTCTTTTTCTTTGAGAGACAGTCTAGCCATGCAGTTCAGACTGGACTTGAGTTCACTTTCTAGCACAGGCTGGTCTAGAACTTGCAACAGTCCTCTTGCTTCAGCCTCCCAAATGCTAGGATTACAGACATGTGCCACCATGCCCAGTTCCAGTAATGTTTTTAAAAGTAATATTCTTTTATTGTTTTGAATTCATTTAAGGATCATTTATTATATTTATTTGGGAAATCTTTTAGTCTTCTTTAGTGTGCAGTAATGGCTCAATCTTTAATTTTCATTTGTGACTTTTTTGAAGAGTACAAACTACCTTTTATATAGGATTGTTCCTTGATTTGTGTTGTCTGATGATTTTCACTAGATGAAGATTTTGGAACTTTCATAAAAATAGAACGTAAGTGATGATGTGTCCAGTATATGCTGGTAGGAGAAAAATAATGTTAATTTGTCTGATTTTTGATGATTTGTCTGATCATTATCCAGGTTGTATGCATCACAGTTCTGTTTGCCTCCTTGGTAATGTGGTTGTTATTAAGCAAATTATTTTTAAAATATTTATGTCATTTAAAGATAATTCTTTTTTTTTTTTTTTTTTGGCTTTTTGTCTTTTTCCTTTTTATCGGTACCAGGGATCGAACTCATGACTGCCTGCTTGCAAGGCAGGCGCTTATGCCGCTGAGCTAAATCCCCAGCCCCGATAATTCTTTATTTTTAAAAATTGGAAAATAAAAGAACCAAAGCATGTTGCCTTTTACCTCCTATCATTTAGGAATGGCCATTGATTTTTTTGTGCGTGTAGCACCCTGCTACTTATTATAGTCTACACAAAGAGCATATCCCAGTGACTAAAATGTGCTTTCTTAGAGTTTACATTGAGTTACAGAAAACTAGTTAAGTATCTTTTAATGAATGCTTGGGACCAGAAGTTATTCAGAATTTAAATTTTGGATTATTAAAAATAATTTTAAAATATTTGCATAAATTTCTTTGGTCAAGAATCCCTAACCCAGAGATCTAAAATACTCCAGCATTTGAAACTTTTTGAACACTGTCATGATGCCCAAAAGGTTTCAGATTTTGGAGCATTATGAATTTTGGATTAGTAATGCTCAATCTGTAGTGGATGTCTTTTATTGAAAATTATCGTGTGGCATGCACTGCCCTAGGTACTTTTCTTTTATTAATCAATTAAGTCTTGCAGTAATCTTATGATGTAAATACAGTATGATTGCTGTCTTCCTTTATGGCACAGAGAGTTTAAAGAACATACCTTAGGCTAAACAGAGAAAATAATATATCACCTGAATTCAATTCTAGGCTGTCTTATGTCAGAGATTATAGTTTTAACCAGTACTGTAGGCTCAAAAGTTGTTGACCAAATTTTAAAAAGTTAGAAAACAGTATGACTTAAAATGTGCTAATAGTGAACTGCTGTGAGCAGAACTACAGCAGTGTTGTTACATGAGATGCTTCACGCTTGCTGAGGGTTTTCTCAATGGCAAAAACGCCACTCTGTACGCAAGTAGTGACCTCTCTTATTGGACCTCCCATAGCCTGCGTTTGCCTTCTTTGTGGTCCTCCTACCTCTGCCTCCCTTCCTGGGATTACAGGCATGCACTATCATGCCTGCTCATCACCTTTTTATAAAAATCTGTTTTTATAGGCAAATAAGTGATCTGATGATATTTTGGAATCACAATGTGTATTTTGGAGGTTGGAATAATGCCTTATATATAATTGTCATTTTCATTAGTTTTTGCATCATCTACCAGTGAAACTAACTGTAGGACCTTGCAAAAATTGCTAGATTCAAGGAGACATTTCTTATTAATAAAGAAGCTTGGAAAATACTTTTTAAAATAGCATTGTTTCCTGAGATAACAAAAGTGGTGACATAGATGTCTTCTCTTCCTGGGGTTGGATCAAGTTAAAATTATAATTAAGAATGTTTTGAAAACTTCCCTGTTAATAAGTTTTTCTGTTGTAGTTGGTAACATGACAGACTTGTTAACTGTGGCCAAAATGATTTTATCTATTTTGTGGGCTAGTCCTTTCTTTGAATAACAATAGTTTACCACAGTATCCTTCAAGGGGGGTAGGATTAAAGCAGCCACCTTAATAAAAATTCTTAGATCTTATATTAATTTTATCCATTCTACTTGCTTAATCTTTCAAGGCCATCTCAAATAATAGGTACCTGGTACTACTTCAGCAAAATAGAAATTCCACGGCTGAAATGAAATTATTTGTTCTCAGTGACTGTGTCAGAGTGCAGGAAGTGCTCTTGAAGGGAGACAAGGTGCTTTAATTCCAAGTGTCTTTGGAATTTAAAGTTCAAGTAGCCTTGAAGACAGTGAAGCATCTTTTCCCCTTCTGTTTAATATTGTGGACCAAAAGATCATGTGACTTTTAACATTTAATTAAAAACTATTAATGATATGAAAGCAATTTAAAACTTTTGCCTCAGAAGTAGAAAAGTGGTTGAAATGGAAAACTTTGATAAAAGGATTTCAACTGCCTGTGCTAGCCATGTTCTCTGTACCTCACTAAAAGGAAGGCTCCAGGGCTCACTAATGTGATCACAGAGAGTCCCCAAGCAAAATGTTGAGTTTCATGTGGAGAGGAAATCATGATCTTACCTCCCAAAAAGAAAAAAAAAAAAAAAAAAAAAAAAGATATTCTTATAATTGCATGTGAGAAATCCAAATGAAAAGTTCCAATTAGGGGCCGGGGGTTTAGCTCAGCTGTGCAAGCGCCTACTTGGCAAACGAGAGGTTGTGAGTTTGATCCCCAGCACAAAACAAACTTAAAAAAAAAAAAAAATTAAAAATTTTAAGTGGAAATGAAATGACTGGGTTCCAATAAAACTTTTTTATTTATGGGCCTTGAACTGTGAATTTTATATAATTTTCATATGAAAATTCGTTTTTAATTTTAAGGAGATTAAGACAAAAGTGGACAGAACAAAGCAGATCAGAACAATGTAAGCAGCACAGTCTGATGTTAACAGTACCTACCATACTGACTCTTTCTCTGAAATAGTTGAGCATACCTTGACGTACAATAGTGTGAAACATAACAAAATAGTATAAAACCATTCAAGAGAATGAATGTGCTACAGGGCATTCGGAACCAAATAACTCAAAATGAGCAATGGCTACTACCTTATCTTATTTTCCATAAAAATTTGTTTATACTGTCACACATAATAAAATCCAATAAGATACAACATGATAGAACCAATGAAACAGAAGAACAAAATCACAGTAGGACTTCAAAGCAAGGTGATATTAAATCAGCATTGACTGCCATAATGTCTTGTTTTCTTCAAAATAGCTGTTTATGGTAAAACCATTCCAACTAATGAATGAAAAAAAAAATGGAACGCTTCAAGAATTTGTGTGTTGGGGCTGGGGATTTAGCTCAACGGCATAAGCGCCTGCCTTGAAAGCAGGCAGTCGTGAGTTTGATCCCTGGTACTGATAAAAACGAAAAAGACAAAAAAAAAAAGAAAAGAAAAAAAAGAAATTGTGTGTCATCCTTGTGCAGAGGCCATGCCAATCTTTCTGTATCATTCCAGTTTTTAGTATATGAGCTGCTGAAGTGAGCACTAAAATTCGTTGTTAAAAGCAATCATTTCAGTGTGTGAAAACCTTTCTCTGCTGTGAGTCCTACAAAACAAGTGGGAGACTAGATGTGGTCCTAAGGGTCACAGTTTTCATCTTGTGCAGAAAAGCACGAAGTTTTCAAAGTTTCATTTGCACTTTATTCAGAATTAAGGCTTCTGCAATACCTGAGAAATTGACTGTTCTTATGTGTGCTGCAGCTGTTTTTATTGGTTACATTATGCCAAAAGATACTAAATATTTTTATCAGCTTAAGCTTTTCAAACCTGTCTCCAAGAGAGGGAGCCTATACACAAGGCAGAAGTATAATTTTGAGTAATGACTGAAGTTTGCTGTAATTCTGTTTTATTAATGTGTGGCATTCCTTGTGTTAGGGTGGTTTGGAACTCTTTAGTTCAATAGTCATGTTAATAATTAGCTTCAGGACAATTAAATTATAGTTTATTTGGGATTCTGGTTCTAACTTCTTACATATTGCAGATTTGGGCATCTGCCGTACGTAGGGTACCATACAAGGCACTGGAGTAACTTAGGAGACATTCAGGGCTCTAGTTAGTACTTGGAACTGTTTCCAGAGGTGATCTACTGAAGCATTTTTGTTAATAGACTTCATGATCCTTGCTTTTTAGTGTTTAATAAAAAAGGACCTTTTACTTCATTGTGCTTCTGGGCTTAATAAGATGTGGCCACAGGGTGGCATAGTTCCTTACAGAATTTATTTATTGTTGCTAAACTGCATAGTAAAAAGTGTTATAAGTAATAAGAATTTTTTCCTCTAATTTGATGTTCAAATGGCTAGGTTGTATTTTTTTCCATGGTTTATCATTAAGGTTTAATAATATTAAATGTTCCTTGAACATTTATGCTTTAAATCTTTTTTGTCAGTTATGGTAACAACATGAATTATACAGTGTTTACAGGTAGAAAAATGGTAATTAGGACTATTTTGAAAAATATGTGTAGCCACTGGCCTCAATTTAAAAAAGTATAACACCTGCTGGAAGAATTGTTTATATTTTTTATTTTAAAAGGGATAAAATAAAATGAGACAAAGCAAAATAGTGAGACACAATATTGGATTTCAAAAACAAGACAGAAGGAAATTCTCCATAGTTACTACATATTACATATCCTCTAACTAGATGCTCAGGCTACCAGCTTCAGGTCTGTAAAATCAATGAGATGTTTTTAAGGAAAAGACAGAGATGTCTTCTAAATAGTTACAAAGGCATGGGCAGTGTTACTGGTATGTTTTTACTTGATTATAGTGCCTTAGTGGAGGAAGGGATAAAAGAAAAGCAGGATGTCAGATGGTTAAGAGGACACAAAAAATAAAGTGACTCCTCATTCTAATAGAATCAGATGAGGACTGAATTTGTTCAAGAAATTTCATACATTATAAGAAGAGAAGATTTGTCTCTAAGTATATAGTTATAAAGAAAGCGAAGTTTAGTGGATCCAGGGGAAGTCTTTTAGGTGGGACTGCAGTGCACAGCATTTAAAGTCCAAGTTTATGTATGCCCTCTCATCCTTTCCATACAGGTCACTCGAGAGCTGTGCTATCTTTGTTGGAGGGTACGTCAGTTGTAGTGATTCATAGGATGTGATCCTGTGAATTTTTGCCAGACAGGAATACAAGTTGAGCATTCTGACTGTGACAATCTAGTTATTTAACTTACTCCCTCCATCTTCTCTGCCTTTTAAACCCCACGACAGCAATTCATTAAGTAAATACACAGTTACCATGTTAGTTTACTTGTTTATTTAATCACCTTCACTAAAGTGTAAGCTGAATTGGTACTCAGAAGGATTGCTGAGTTCAACGCCAACCAAAACTACACAAGGGAAACCCTGTTTCAAAATAAAAGGAAACAAAAAAAACCCAAAACATAAGCTGAAGGGGAACAAGAGATCTTGGCACACTAAATACTCAAAGTTTATATTTATATAAACATACTAGAACAGGTATACAGTTTGTTTAGATAATGTTTGTTTTTTCCTTAAATATATTTTATAGAGAGAGGCTTCTAAGAGTAACCTTACTGATAAAAACTTGCTGTGTGTTTTTCTTTCCTAGGGTCATTGTGTTCTTACTGTACTGCTTGCTGAAGAGGACAAAGTTGAAGATGATGTAGTTTTTTACTTGGTATTTTCAGGGTCTACCCTTCATCATTGTGCAAGTACTCGGAAAGTCACTGCTGATACGTTGGAAACTGTCGCTCCTGGTCAGTACTTGAATAGGATCTTTTCTAGCCTTTACTATTCTTGAATACTTCTGTTTTATGTTCATAAGTATAGTGATAGAATGAAGCAGGATATTATCAGGTCTTTAAATGCTTATTATATCTTGTTGCTTTCACAAAACTTGAATCTAACTAGAAATAAGTGCAATAAAGTGATATTATAAATTAAAAGATAAAAATCCGGATTAGCAAAAATGCATATAGTAATTTCTGGAATGTTGTGATTTGGGGAAGATTAAAATGCATGTGCCCATATGTAAGTGCTCACACGATTATTTTGATGGGACTGCCTGTTTTGTTCTGAACTTCATGGTAGCAAAAGTTAAAATTAGGGGGCTGGGGATTTAGCTCAGCAGCATAAGCCACCTGCCTTGAAGCAGGCAGTTGTGAGTTCGATCCCCTGTACCGATAAAAAGGAAAAAGACCCCCCCCCCAAAAAAAAAGTTAAAATTAAATTTATTCCTAAAAATTTGAGTAGGAAAATACAGAATCTTTCAGAAACTCAAATTTACCTAAGGTATTTACATAATAGTTCATTGTGGAATGAAAGCTTATTCAGTATTCCTTTTATAATTGTAAAAGAATTAAAAACTAAATAGCTAAAAATTCATACAGTGTCACCAGTGCATTGCTACTTCTAGCAGAAATGGATGATAAAGGATAATCCTTCTCTCTTTGCCTATTCTAGCATCTGATGATGTATTGATTTGTGTTTGGAGAAAAAAAATCATAAAAATATTGACAGTTCAATTATTTCTCTTTAGATAATAAAATGGAGATGAGCAAGCTGTCAACATTTTTTAAGGGTTCCACTTCATTGGTTTGGTTTAGTTTAGGTGACATAAAATTATTAATTTATTAAGCTTTGAACATGTATGTGGTCTTGCTGTGTTTGATCAGCTTGTTGATTTTTCATTTCTGTGCCACTTCATATAAACTATATCTTGTACCTACCAAATTCTGAAAACTATGACAATTGAAAGTTTTATTTGTCCTCATTGGAAAAAATAATTTTGGAGAACATAAGATTTTAAAGATTCTAAAAGGGTCCTTAGGAGTGTTTTCTCCAGATTTCAGGGTAGGAAATGTAAGAAGGCAGTTGGGATGGATACTGATTTCCTTTGCAAAGAGTATTAGGTACCGTTCTTTGTGAATTAAAGCTGCAGTCATCTTGTGATCAATGCCATATTGGAAAGGCTTAGCTGGAACTTGTCTCCTATCTTGCAGGTAACAGTCAGTATCACCGTGATTAAACATGCATTATGTGTTGGTGATGGGAGAAACAGTAGATAGAAGCAGTTAGTCCCTGGCTAGGCTCAAAGAAAAGGAATGGGCATAGTTTTTATACATGTATGTTTTCTTGAGTTACAAAGACCAAATTAGAAAGGATTAAAGTACATTCATGTAAGTGTGTAAGAGAGGGGAAGCGTGTAAGAGAGGGGGAAGCTGTGTCAAGAATTTGGCCCTGGGTCCTGGCTGCGATACTCAGTCTCACCCCAGAACCCCTTAGTGGAGATAGATGTTCCTGGAGACTGTTACCCCTTCATTAGCAGTGCCCTTAAGTTGAGAATGGTGGCAGTTGTAAGCCCCACTGTGCTTACATGACAACCTTGAGCTCTAACTTTCTATCATATCCTACACACGGCTTCTAGCCTACCTTTGTGAACTACATTGTGCATTTCTTCTCTTGGCTTTGGGTTTCTTTGTATGTCTTGAGTATCCCCTTTGCCAGCCATCCCATTTGTGCTTATTCACTTCAAGTACTATAAGACCCTAACTAAAGCCAACTAGAATGGCTATTGTATTCTGCTCTTTTCCTCTTGTTTTTGTCTGAATCCTCAGAAGTTATGCCTGACCCTTTTGCTTGGGATCATGTCATTTTCTCTGATTAGTTTTTCTCTTACCTATATTCTTGGTTCATATATATGGGCCCAACAGTCCCCACACCTCCACCCATTGGCCTAAATGTTTTGCTGATATACGTTTCCTAATCACAGCAGAGCTGACAGAAGAATATGGGATTTCCTGAAAGACTGTTTCGTACGTGTGGAAGGCCAGTGATGGTCAAAGCAGACTAAAGTATGAGAGATGAGAGCATTTTGGGGCTAAGTTAGTTTTCAGTTTCTTGTTTATGTCATGGGGCCTTTTAAAAAGAACTTTTTAAAAGCTGAATCAAAACTACCTTCAGTCTGCATTTGTGGAATTCTTAGATTTGGTGTCCTTTTCCTGTAAGTCCTTATTCAAATCACTCTTTCCATGAGGTCTTTTGTGCCCACCTCACAGAAATATTCAACTCAGCATTCCTTCCTTGCTGTATCTTTCTCCATTGCACTTACCAACCTTTAACACATGCATTTTGCTTACTTATCGTGTTTTCTGCCTCTCCTACTACAGTGTTAGCTTTGTAAGAGCAAGTATTTTTGTTTATTTACTGGTGTGTGCTAAAAAGGTTTCTTTCAGGAATTTGTACCACATAATAGGACAATGTTTCCATTGTTTTGAAATTTATCTTGGTTCTCAAAAGCTGATTTATAGAAAGTTGCTTTGTGCGTGTAAATACCTTCCTTCACAGTCACTTCTCCTATCTGTATTTTTTTTCATGTTTTCTAATAAGAACCTTACATGGAGAGGATATTAAAAGTTACAAAGGTGTCTTAAGGTAGCCTTTTCTTGCCTACCTGCCATTGAAGGCATGGACAAGATCTAATCCCCCCCTTTAAAAAAATCTGTTAATAAGACTTTTTGGGTGACAGGTAGATAGACTTTGACCTTCTATTTTATCTGCCTTTGAATTTATTGAAAGCTTTATAGTGAGTATTTTACTTGTATAATATCTTGATTACTTTTTTTTCCTTGCTGAGACAAAGTACTCGATGTCCAAAATGAAGAAGGAAAGGTTTATTTAGCTTACAGTTCATGGAAGTTTCAATCCATATTCAGCTGTCTCCAAGACAGGGTGGCATGGGTAAGGGGCAGCCATTCACGGCAGCTGCAAGTAACAGGAACTCAAAGAGCAAAAAGGAAAAGCATGCCCCCCCCCCATATGATACGCTTGTCTACCCACCACAGGGAGGTGCAGCACTCACACCACCAATCCCAGCACTAGACAGTGAGACAATCACAAATAGTAGACTCAGCCTGCATGAGGCTTGGGGGGCGGGGCGCCCAGGGACACACCCAAACACAAAACATAATCCAGTAATTTTAATAATTTCAAAGACTAAAAAAAATATCTTCTCTTGAAAATAAGTCTCTAACACTAGAAATAGGTACAAGTTTTATAATAAAGTATTAAATACAAAATACCTATGAAATGACTAGTTCAAGATTATAATTTGCTATGAAACATAGGTTGAAATGGAAATACATTTCTAATGAAAAATCTTAGCTTTGCAATAAATAAAAATAACCCACTATTGTCTTTTCATAGAAACCCAATCTAAATAATTAATTACCCTATGATTTTCTTCTAGAGATGAAGCTAAGGTTCTCTTTTCTTTGTTCTTTTTTTTCTTTCTTTCTAATACCTATGAAGGATTGATAGTGTAAAGAAACCTCAGTATTCTTGGAAGACGTGCTGTTTTGTTTTGTTTACTTTTATTAATGAATGAAATAATTTAGATAAACAAACTGATTTCAGAATGAAAAATGGAATAGGATGTTAAGTGAATTCTCCACACTTTATGAAAGGCTTTGATGCAGACTCTTTCATAAAATAAAATCTTTTTTTAGCTTGGCTGTTTACTTTTAGGATTCATAGCAAAGGTTCTCATTTGACGGAAAAAGTACAACCCTTCATTGACCCAAAATTATACTCAACACTTGAGTATTTTCTTTCTTGCTTATAAAGAATGATAACTATATAAAGTAGATTTGTCATGAAAAGAAAAAAAAATACATTTAGCACTATTGATAATCCACTAGGATTATAGCATAATGTGTCTTTCACAAGAAATTTGTCAACCAAGACTCTTTGTAGCAGATGTCCAAAGACTATCAAGTTGAAAAACATATATGAAAAGAAGTTACAAGCTTGTAAGTAGCCCAATCAGGGAATTTTATTCCTACCCCATTATCAAATCAATTTTTATTTTAAAGAGAATTAAACCAAGCAAAACAAAACAGAACAGATCCAAACAGATCAGTGTAAATGACATAGGACTTCAAAGCCACATGAAATCAACATGGTTACCATCATGCCACCTGCTGTCTTCAAAATAACGGCAAGCACCTTCAGTCACAGTAAAAAATCAAACAAAACAATAGAATAGAACTAACAAAAACATAACAATGAGTGCGTGAAGGACTTCAAAACAAGATAGTAGTAAGTCCAAAATGACTGTCTCAGTAGATCTTACCTTTGACCTAGCTGCCATGTCACCAGATACAGTAGAATCAAACAAAACAAAACAAAATCCAAGCCAACAAAACAATGAAAATGATATAGGACTTAAAACCAAGATAATAGGGCTGGGGATTTAGCTCAGTTGCTTAAATAAAAAGACAATTGGGAATCAACAATGGCCACTATCCTCAGATGGAGAAGCTACATTGCATGTTACCATCCTCTGAAATAGATGATCAGACCCTTGGCTTTAGACCTACAAAGTCAGTGAAACACTAAACACTACAAGCATTAAATTGTATTCCACTTCAGTAGCCATCATCCAGGCTGTTTCTCCAGATCAGCTGGTGGTTTATAGTGGGGGTGGGATGGGGGGTTTGGTTCTTGTTTCCCAGCTTGTGTGCCAGTAGGGGCTGGCATCTGGCTCTGCTTCTGGTGGCCTGCACATGGTGCTGCTTCGCAGGGAGGGCTTGCTTCTTACTGATTTCTTGTTCTCTTTCCCTGCAATTTGTGAATGACATTGACTTACGCTAAAAGGCTCATGTCTGGCTCTTCCTCCAGTGGTCTATCATTTATGAACATCTTACAACAATCTTCCTATTCTGAAATACTTCTCTTATAACTGTATACATAGCTT